TGTACATAATAATAATTATAATAATAATAAGGATATTAATAATAGCAACACTAGTAGCAACAACAACAACAACAACAAGAACAACAGTTACAATAAGAACAATACCAGTGTTAATAGTGATTATAGTACAAGAAATCTTACCTCAAACAACATTGCACAGCCGAATGGACTGTCTTTGAATAATTTAACTCAGGAATACCAACATCAGCATACAATGACCAGAATCTATGACTATTATTTAAATAATTTAAAAACATTCTAAACAAAAATTTACTGCCATACCTACATGTACACACATACTTAGGTACATAACGTTAGAATGATATATAAATTTCTATATATTCATGTCTTTTTTATTAGTTTTCATATCGACGACCCAGCGCTAATAGATATATATATTAATAGAAAAAAAAAAAAATTAATCCAAAAAAATAAATAAATAAAATTATCCGTCTGTTTGTCTATCTGTTTTCAATGTCATTGGAAATAACCCAAATTTTTATGTCCAATCCATAAAGTATCGAGGATGACCAAAGATGAACAAAATTAATTGACATAAAACATTTGAAGAAAAAAATTACGATTTTTTTCCACTTGTATAGATGCTTAGTACAATCAATGAAGGGAGTTTGGAATAAGTGTCATTCAGATTTGGGTAGTGGATATCTATGATTCGCCTTAAGGCGAACACAATATTTTGATTTGATTTTTTTTCTTTGTATAAATGCTTACCGACGGACAGAAAAAAAAAACGCAAATCAAAATTTATAAAAGACAAAACACTCCAATCCTTATGGACCATTCGAATCTATGTGGCCTTTTACTGTTACTTTTACACTTCACTATATATATACGCATATATATAAATATATACTTATAGACAATTTGCATACCTATTTTATTAGCTTAGTAGTTGTAGTCTCATTAAATAATTCTGTTATAAGTGTTACTCATAAAATTACAAAAATAACTTGTAATAAGACCTTCAAGTGATGGTGTTGATGTCAATGTCATCATTTGCGGAGTGCGCGTGTCAGCAAACAACAAACAAATCAAACAATCGAACTATCTGTGGTAATTAAGTGTAAAAACATTTGTGTTAGAGGATCAATTAAACTTGCCATAAATATTTACATAAATCCTGTGTGTTAACATGACCAGAGACGAGGTGAGGATTATAATCAAATTAAAACAAAAAAATTTAAAAAAAAATTGAAAAAAAAAATCAAAATATTTTCACAAAACTATCGATTCATATCTTTGAAAAATTGAAAATATATTTTTTCATCTATCTTTCATTTCTCTCTCTTTCTCTTTCTCTTTCTCTCCCTCTCTCTCTCTCTCTCTCTCTGTCTCTGTCTCTCTCTCTCTCTCTCTCTCTCTCTCTCTCTCTCTCTCTCTCTCTCTCTCTTTCTCTTTCTCTTTCTTTCTCTCTCTCTCTCTCTCTGTCTCTCTATCTCTCTATCATACTCGCTCTATATTACATCGACTATCTCGCCCTCTTCTCTTTAAAGTAGAATTTTTAAATGAATTGGTGAACTCACTGACGGTCTCTCATTATTACACACATTACTTAATATATCTACCTTACTCTCTGCTTCTCTTTTTCAACTCTTTCACCTATGAGTTAGAGCTTACTATTCCATCGTAGGCTGTTCAAATACATATATAGATTAAGATCATGTTTCACTACACGATAATAAAGCCTATCATCAGTTGAGCTTTGACATTTAATACAGCATTGCGTATAAGTGCTTTAATTATTTATAGATTGCAATTTAGTATATGTAATACAATTAAAAAGATGTTAAGGCAACTTTCTTGTAAAATTTCGTATATTTTTAAATTTACCTCCAACTATAAAAACACTTCAATTCATTTTAATTAGATTTTTTTTAAAAACAATTTCGCAAAGTTATAGGTTATTTCTAACGAACTTTAATTCGTGCCGGATAATCATTAATATATTTCTGTCACTATTTCGCCCGTAGCTACCTACGAATGTTACAATTAAAACTTTTTTTGCTCATAAGAATGCCATTTAGCGACATTCCTTTGAATCAAGTATGGCCACACTCCCAATATAGATACCGCATGCGCTAGTTCTGTTAACCCAGTTGTAGCGTTTAGTAATATGAGCCATATAAGCCATAAAGTATTGAATGGCGGGCTTAAATATTGGTAGAGCAACCACCACATCAAATTCAAAAATGAACATTAAGCAAAAATCAAAAATTGAAAAAATTATGATAGTGCTTTCATAATTTTATATTTGAATATGTATTTAATGTATAGTGAGTTTAAACTCTTTAAGATAACATTTCAATTTCGCAATTTGTATTGTCAAAGTTCACGCTGTAACCGGCCTCATTCACAGTTAATTAGTCGATAGTAATAAATCTCTTTCACTGACATGTTTAATAACTGTATAATACGTATCGTTACTTCTCTAAAGAAGTTTATGTTGTAGAAAAAACACTTTTCCGCTTCTTACTATTCCTATGGCTTCTTAGATATAATCATTTATATTACGTGAGTAACTATTAGAGTGCTTTTCACTTGGCCGGTTCATGTTGAAGGGAACAGTACAGGGTATTGACAGCTTTATATCATATTACATAGATGATTTCATATAATCGCTATTAAGCATTTTGATAATAAAAAATATTGCTTACGCGAATTTTCTACTTGCAATAAATCCAGCTTTTCCTATATATGTAGCAGATCTCGTGGCTTATCATTTATGGTAAAACTTCTTAGATGAAAAAGGACCTTTACGTAACCTTTTACCTATCTTCATAAAAAAAAAAAAAAATGCTTTTGCATTGAAGACTAAACATCGAATATCGCAATTTGAAATAGATTATAATATTTGGACTACATCGTTTACGCATTGTTTTCACATAAGCCGTTGTTTATATATCTGCGCTGTACTTTTTTCTTCCAAACAATATGCGCAAAAAAAAGTGTAGATTGCCATGTAACACGAGAAGGAATAGGTAAACATAAAACAAAAATTACTTTTTGATAAACTGTTAAATAAAATAGCTGTAAACTGTACACTACTGTGACTTGTAAGTATGAAAAACTCACTATTCTGCTCTCACCTCAAAAAATAAGCTTATAAAACTTTTTTGCTTATAAAGAATGCTTCGAGATCTAAGGTCTAGAAAGATATATCGATTGCATTCGCATTAGATTACATTTATTTACCTAATTCTAATTGTTCCCTTTGCATATAATGCAAGCATTTTACACTTTGATACTTCTTGTTAACTAATCTTTACACAAATCGTTAATAATGTCTTCTTATCAAAGCCTAAAAAATCTATATATATCATCATATATGTATATAAAATATATATATATATATATATATATGTACATAAAAAACATGTTGTGTAATTGTGATGTTGCTGTAGTATTTTTTTCTATTTGGTAAGTTATTTTATTTAAGTTTTATTAAAAATTTTTCTTGATTTAAAATGCTTTTCTTTATTGCCTTAATTTCAATTACTTCCTGCCGCACATTTGCTTGCTTTTAATGTAAATACATATATCTCTAATTGTATTATCTAAATAGTATTGGTGTAATCTTGGTCTTTGGTATTGCATGGTAATACATTCTTTTGCTTCATTAGTGCATCTGTGCATTTTAACTCCATGATCTTTATTCATTAACTTTTTTTTTTTTTTTAATTCATATTATATTTTTTACGCAGACCATGACTGATTTCAGTTGGAAAATATATATTTGAAAGATTTTAAATATAATAATTAAAAAAATTTACTTTTTCATATAACTTCTAAAGATTTCTTAAGCATGCCCTAACCAAAGAAGTCTTTAGTGAGTTAAAAATGTGTTAAAACGCAATTTCAAAACAGCAGCCAAAAACCAAATTTGTAGCTATTTTGAAAATTTCCTAAAAAACAAATGAACAATACAACTACAACAACAAAAACAATTTTCTTTAAATAGAACCATTTTTTTATTATTATCGTTATTATTATTATTATTATTGTTATTATTATTATTTATTTAGAAATGTTTTCAACAATATCTCTATAAATACCAAAAAAAGAAATAAAAAAATATCTTTACCTCTTTACCATAAAATTTGAAAGAACTAATTTATCTCTTCGTTCACTGAGTAAGAAATTAAAAAGTGAGGAAATGTATATGAATTTTAGCCAAAGAGGCGTAGCTTTCCTGTTTCCATGATTAGAAAATATATAAGCTTTTTTATTTTTAGGTCACAAGACCTTAAAGTGTACTTCGAGACGGCTTCACATTGATTATCGACCTGTCTCTCCGTCGTTCCATTGATTGAATGTAAATTTGGGAACTTTAACTTTAACTAAAAAAAAAAAAAACAAGAACAGAATGGTTCATCCGCAATTAAAGCAAACATTTTGATATTCAAAGAAAAGAAAAAAATCAGAAAAGAGGATGAGAATGGAAATTGAAAAGCATTTCTAAAACAAAATCGTAACATTGCATAATTTTGCCCAATATTCACACCAATGGCGAGAACTGCAATATTCAGCACTCCATTCATATTCTTTATCTGGACCTAGACCGAAAAAACACAAAAATTGCAGTTAAAATAAACATCAATCGATTTAAGGCTATGCTGAACTCGGTTTCTCTCATATATTTTCTCGCTCAGTGATTCATTTATCAAAACTTTTAAAACATATATATAAAAAATTAAAAAAAAAAGTTAACTTAAAAAATTTTTTGCTTAGTTTGTTTTTTAACTCTTAACTATTTTTTCATACTCTTCTCTTACCGATAATTTATTATTATTATGATTTTTTTCTCATTTCACTTTCAAACTGCACTTTTTCTTTAAAAAAAAAAAACAAGGAAATGAGACCAATAGATTTTTACGTAATTAAAATAAACCTTTTACAAATTATTTTTTATATACCTTTAGGACCACATAACGTTTTGAGTTCGGCAAATTCTTCTCCAACCAGCTCTACCTCAGCGCCACCATCTCCCCCACCTGTCGCTATCTTATCACCAAATTCATCGTTGAATTCTTTGGTGTGTAATAACAATTTAGCCGGCAGCAGTAACAATTTCAACAATGTTACCGAACCTTTTAATTTGCATGCTTCACCGCCTCGACCCAGCAGCACAGGAGGTTCAGCCACCGGTAGCAGTAGTGGGGGGGCTTGCAACAACATCTTCCGTTACTTCGTTACCACAAATGCCGTTGCGTATGCCACCTCCAACCAGCGGTGGAATTAACGAACCTCAAGAATGCCCCTATTGCCGGCGTACCTTTTCCTGTTATTATTCATTGAAGCGGCACTTTCAGGACAAACACGAACAATCTGATACGCTCTACGTTTGTGAATTTTGCCATCGACGCTATCGCACCAAAAACTCGTTAACTACGCACAAAAGTTTACAGCATCGCGGCTCCAGCGGTATGCTGAAACGTTTACTAAAAACGTCTATGAAAAACGTATTGGTGCCTCATCCACATGCCCATCATCATTCGCATCATCATCATCATCACCATGCGTTAACTCACGCACGCAATACACTATTCGACTTTAATAGCGAATTAGGTCAACCGCCACCAGGTATACAATAGAAATCACTCCGGAAAACCCATAGAAAACAAGCAATACGCATACTTTTGTCAATTGATTAATTATCACAAAATCGTTAGCAAACTTTTGTACAGCAACAACAAACAATATCTTAGTTGCAATCGCAAGTCAAGATGAAACCGACATGATCCGTGCAATATTTAGCAAAAATAAAAACAAAAAAAAAAAAAGAACAAAAACAAAAAATTTAAAAACATTAAACAAACGAATGCATTCAATATTCAAGTATAGCAAAGTCAATCAATGGCTTAACCGATATATAGTTGTCGGATACCATCGATCTTCTAAATATATCTGCATATTTCTGACTTTGGATTGGTAACGAAAATTTCATATACTTTTCAATTTTCTGTATATATAATTAAGTTAAAATAACAAAAACAACAAAAAAAAAAAAATTTCTTTATATAAGTTTGTAGGTGTTTTTAAAATATATGTTTTTATGTTTCTTATATATTTTTAGTAAAAGCTAAAAGTGGGAAGAGAATGAAGGACTCTTCGCAAAAATTTTCAATACTAAATCGGTTATATTTTGAATAGAAAAAAAGAGAAAAATTTATATTTAAAAAACGAGAAAAAAGGGGAAACAAATTTATTATCATTAAATGTATGCATAATTTGTAATTATTGTACAGAAATCTCGTTAAATTTTTGTTTCGCAAACATTTCACATTACGCTATTACTTCAGTTTCTTAAAATTATTTAAATTCCTTATCAAAAAATTTATTACATATCGATTATGAATGAATATTTTATCAAAAAACAAATTGTAAAGGCAATGAAACTCCCGTTTACAAAAGAACCAGATAAATAGATGATAACAAGTTTTTCGAAAATTATGATTTACTTGCCGTGAAAATCACGCGTCATAGTACAATAACAAATTATGCATACCAAATTATGAAACCAATGAGAATTTTCAAATTGATAGTCAAGAAAGTGTACATTATTTAAAAAAAAAAAAAAAACAACAATTTGAAAAATTACATTAACAAAATATATTTTATGTTCAATAGATCTCGCCAGTATATTTATTTTCTTGCTGCGAGTTTTCTCTCTCTCTCTCTCTCTCTCTCTCTCTCTCTCTGGGCGCTCTTCCGTTATTAACTGTAAACCGATGCTTTTTCAAAACCTTATATGTAACATAAAATAATAATTTTGCAAGGAAATGTTGCATAAAAGTAATCATCTGCATCTACTCAAAAGAATTCGGAAACAAATTCGCGCAAAAGTTGTTTTACTTGTTTTGCGACGCCACATGTTACAAGTTTCTTTTAAGACATCTTGCCAGTTGAAAACAACAAAACTTCCCGGAGCAGCGTTTGCAGTACAAAAGCTTATCAGATTTATGTGAAGTATAAAAGTAATCGCAGCATTGTGCTGCTTATATCTTCCATGATTAACGAATCGACATGGTCGAGACTTTGTTAAATTTATTACATTGTTGAGATCATGATTGCGATTTTCAAAAATTTTCTTTTCGTTTTTATATAAAAAATGTAATCATGTTTCACGTCACGCAATAAGTAAAACTTAGTGAATCCGATCATTTTCTTCACACATTATTAACTTATGCGGCATTTGCGCACTGCTGCGGCATGCCCTTACGCGAACAGATCAAGAACCAACAGAATAATGAATATTCTTGGATTGTAAATGTAAATCTTATATCCAATATCTACCGCGTAGCGTATACTGAGCATATCGACATACACAACCCAAATAATTATTTTCAATAGAGAAATTATGAATTTCTATTTTTTTCGAATTGCAAATAAAAATGTTAAATCAAAAAGAGATAATATTGAATCGTCCACTGTATTGGAGTTTTTACTTTAGCGCTAGATTGCATGGAGCATTGACTTACCCCAATAAGCCACAACCTCTCAATAATCTTGTTCGCCAAAATTATTCGTGTTTCTAGAATGACTAGAAATTGACGTTCCAGAAGTGAATTTTAAAAAAGATGTCCAGAGCTAAAATCATTTCTAAAGAAATTTTCCACGAACCAATATCTTAAATACAAAAATTCTCATATTGATATCATTTACCCTTTAGCTTTTATTATAAATTAAAAAAAAAAAAAAAACACTTAGTTGACTCTGTTTTCGATTTAGATAACAATTTTCTTCATTTGTGAACGCTCCCTACAGATAATAATTATAAAATACACAACTTCTTATATGAATACAATAAACAAATGTCATCAGGCTTTCGAAAATCAACATTCCGATCGAAAGGAAAACAAACGTAAGAAACAACAGGATGAACGAATTACTAAGCAACGAACACAGCTTTCAAATTTTTCTAATTTAACTCATAGATAAATTTCAGATTTTAATTCCCAAAAATTGAACCCAACAAAAACTATTTAGTTAGAAAAATCTAATGCACACGTCCATGACCCTAGCCCTCCAGTTTTAAGATTCTTATGAATACTGTCACTTTTTCTAGTGTCTGACGTTATGAAGACCCCTCCATACATTTGAAGATGGACGCGCATTCACATAGAAGATAAGAAATCCCTATTTCTTTTTTTTTGCTTTTGATGCATAGTTTCAATAATGTTAACTTTGATGTCTTTTTTCAATTCCGATTTGTTTTTTTTTTTTTTTTTTTTTTTTTTTTTAAAAAAATTTTAAAAAAA